ACAAAGAAAATGATTGCTTGATGACCAAAGCCATCATCCCTTGGTCCTAGATCTCCCAACGTCTGGCTGCACACCTGGATGCTGGGCTCTGTGAGGTCCTTCTGTGCTCTTACATTAAATTTCTAATATTAAAGCCAGTTTGAACCATAAAACAGTTTCCAAGACAATTGCTCAAAAGCAGGATTTTCTGTGTATTCATCTCAGACTTGAGTTGAGCCAGTTCCTTTCCTGATACTGAGAGGTGAAGCCAGCTGAGCTTCTGGGTCGGGTGGGGACTTGGAGACTTTTGTAAATGCACCAATCAGCACTCTGTGTCTAGCTAAAGGATTGTAAACGCACCAATCAGTACTCTGTAAAATGGACCAATCAGAAATCTGTAAAATGGACTAATCAGCACTCTGTAAAATGGACCAATCGGCAGGATGTGGGCACAGCCAAAAGAGGGAATAAAAGCTGGCCACCCCAGCCAGCAGCAGCAACCTGCTCGGGTCCTCTTCCATGCTGTGGGAGCTTTGTTCTTTCACTTTTCACAATAAATCTTGCTGCTGCTTACTCTTTGGGTCCACACTACCTTTATGAGCTGTAACACCATGAGGGTCTGTGGCTTCACTCCTGAAGTCAGTTGAGACCATGAACCCACCGGGAGGAACAAACAACTGCAGACATGTGACCTTTAAGAACTGTAACACTCACTGTGAAGGTCTGCGGCTTCACTCCTGAAGCCAGCCAGACCACGAACCCACTAGAAGGAAGAAACTCTGGACACATCTGAACATCTGAAGGAACAACCTCTGGACACACCATCTTTAAGAGCTGTTAACACTCACTGCGAGGGTCTGCAGCTTCATTTTTGGAGTCAGCGAGACCAAGAACCCACCGTAAGGAATAAATTCTGGACACAATACCATTAAGATTGACAGTTACTATCAAACTGCTGTCTTTTTGTTCTTAACCATTTGCTTGCATCATATAGGGTGATATAGAGCAACTGGGGTAAAGGGGCTTGAAGAGCATAAGGCTAATACTGTTTTTCTTTGCATTTTATTTCTAATCCATGTTCTTGCAAACCACTAAAATCCAAGGTACTTTGACATCTACTTTTCTAAAATATATAATGCAAGTGGACCAGGTCAACTACACATTTCAATTTAATTCAGTAAACATTAACTAAGCACCTGTTATGTGGCTAAGCGATATGCTACTGCTTATCAAAATGATGACTATAAACATAACTCAATGCACAGAAGTTTAATAATATAATTCAGTAGAAAAGTCACATGCACATGAAATTTAAACACACACACACTATATATATATAAGGTGTCAAATTTAAGGCAATATCTATTGCAGTTAAGTGCCATGGCAGACAATGCTTTTGCTCTAGTTGAGTATCACTGATTACATTTCAGATCTTTATAAATAAACCAATTATTCTTTGAGTTTAAATACTTTTGAATATGTAAGAACTGTCACCTCTCTTGGCCAGTGAATTCTTCCTAGGAAGGTTATGTGCTTTATTTTGCAACCCCTGAGAACCAAAAAAGGGCTGAAGTTACTTAATATACATGATTGATTGAGACTTAGGACAATGAAATAGAAAAAGTGTTCCTGTGTTCTACAGGTCTTTCTTTTGCTCCTAGGGTATTTAAACTTTTGATTTTGTCATTTTCACACGCAGTGTGAACTGGATACAAGTATCAATGTTAAAATGTATTTATGAGTACATCAGGCCTAGTGAGGTGGCTCACACCTGTAATCCCAGAACTTTGTGGGGCTCAGGCGGGAGGATTACATGAGTCTGGGAGGTCGAGGCTACGGTGAGTCGTATTGTGCCACCTGACTCTAACTTGGGTGACAGAGTGAGACTGTCTCAAAAAACAAAACAAAACAACAAAAAACAAAAGCAAAAAAAAAAATCAAATATTTTATTCTAATTGACATCTGAATTTATAAAAATCATTTTCAGTCATTCAGAATGAAAAAAGTCAAGTCAAACAGAATATGTAAGTTAAAAGATTCAAAAGATTTACAGTGTATCTGAAGTTATTCATTGTCCATTTATTTACAAGTGATTAAAATGCATCCTTGACCAATAAGGTTTGAGACTTTAGAATATTAAGTGTTTAGTTAGGACCTTGAAACAAATTGGTTTTTAAAAACACAGCAAATAAAAATATTTTAATAAAATGATTTGGGGATTATCCTTGTAAAAGCCACCCTAAGGGCAAACATTATTTATTTAATCAAATTTTGCCAGGGATTTGCATTCCCTGGGAGGTTGTTCCAAATCCTTTAAATTTTACTCAGGTCCCCATCCTAATACTTTCTATCTTGCAATACCCAGCAGATGAAATGAGCCTCTAATTATTTTACTGACAAAAATCAGGAAACTCAACAAGCTTTCCCCAATATCTGCACCTTTGTCTTATCTAATAGCCTGTTTTTCAATCTCAGAAGAAGATAGGCCTCTTCTGTTTCTCATCCATTCTCCCCTCACCTCTAGGAGCCTGCCGTACCAACCACCTCACTGTCTTCTGATGCCTTTCCTTTTGCCTTCAAATATTGTATTCCATAAAACAAGTGAACAAATTAAACTTCATAAGACACTGTCCTTTAAGTTTATACTCTTTTAAACAACTTACCCTCTCTTCTCTACCTTCTCACATTTTTTGACATAAGCAGCTTCTTTGTCTCTTGAAGGCTTGCTTCTTTCACAGGCCCTTCTAAACCCATGCCAACTGGATACAACCAAGATGTTCCCTGCTGTTCTGAATGTGGCAAGGTAGATGTACCAACGCATGGGCTGGCTGCTGCTTTGAAAGCCTTCTGTCAGCGTTGTCACTTCTGAGACCTGTGATCCCCAGACACTACCTCTCAAATTGCCTTGTTGCTCTGTTGACTTTTCCAAAAGGCTCCTCACTGTTCTCTCCAAGTTCAGCCCCTCTTCATTCCGATGATCCCAGCACAGTCATGGCCCTAAAACCCAACTGGGATTGGGTTCCTTCATTGCCTAGAAGCCTTTATGCCTCTTTTGTGCCTGCTGATAAGTTAAAACCTCCCTAGCCAGCCACTTGGGTTATTCACACAATGACTGTCATCCCTCTGCAACTCCTTTCCACACCCTGCAATCAAGGCTGCCTCAACTCTTTTCCACCCATTTATTTGGGCTTTCCAACCTCCTTGTCTAGAATCTTTCCTTACCTTCAGGAGAGGCCAATCAGAATCTACCAGAACTTGAAAGCCCAAATCATTGCTACTGGTTTGCTAGTCCAGAGCTTTGGCCTGAAGCTCCAGAAGCTGCTGACAAATGGATATCAGGGCAGTTATCCTGGCCCTGGATTCTCTTCCTTCACCAGGCTGTAGGTTCTCTGAAGGAGGTGGCTAGAAAAGCTGATGTAGAAGAATGAACAGAGTCAGATGGACTTAGATGCGAGTCCCGCTCTTACTGTCTCTGTGGCCACAGGCAGGTTACTTACTGTTCTTAATCACCTGTTTCCCCAAATGGAAGAGTGAACTAACAATGTGTCATAGAACTGTGGTGAAAATTCCATGAGATAGGAAATAAACATCTGGCATCCAAATACATTTACAACTTTTTGTTTTTTTTGAGATGGAGTCCCACTCTATCGCCCAGGTTGGAGTGCAGTGGCACGATCTTAGCTTACTGCAACCTCCACCTCCCAGGTTCAAACAATTCGACTGCCTCAACCTCCCAAGTAGCTAGGACTACAGGCATGCACCAACATGCCTGGCTAGTGTTTGTATTTTTAGTAGAGATGGGGTTTCACCATGCTGCCCAAGCTGGTCTCGAACTCCTGACCTCTGCCTGCCTTGGCCAACCAAAGTGCTGGGATTACAGTCATTAGCCACTGTGTCTTTCCCCCCCACCCCCCGTCCCTGTATAATTCAGATTACTCAATTTAGGTTGGAGCTGCCTATGGTAACAAAGCATCCTTTTTTCTTTTCTTACTTTTTTTTTTTTTTTTTGGCAGAACAGGCTATATAGAATATAAATGCAAACACTTGAAAATTTCACATTTATTCTCATTTCTCTCTAGGGAAGCAAAAAAAGAACTATTCTTCCTTGAAATGAAGACAGAAGGAAAAAGGGAGAGAGAACGGAAGAAAGGGGAGAAGGATTTTGGTGTGGAGGAGGGAGAGAGTTTATTTAATGTTTTTATATGAGAGAAATGGAATGTTATTCATCTGGAAACAGAGAAGTGCTTCCAAAACACTGAATTTATAAAGACCAATTCCTCCAGATTTCAAAAATAATACCAACACAGGTCAGCCTGCAAATCAAATGTGTGTTTTTCATTTGTTCCCCAATTCTCTCCCTCCAGCTTTCTGAAGTAACCCGCACGAAAATCACTGTAGATGAGCCTTAAGCAACTGCTTGTCTATTTTCTTAACATGCTTGGCCAGGAGTTGTGAACATTGGCTTGGAAGACCTGGTTTAGCAGTGACCGTCAAAACACCTCACAACTTTGCACTGGGCACACACTTTGCTGAGTAGGGCAGTAAGTATAATTGGGCTTTGGCTCACTGCAGAAAAAATGTTATCCTAAATATCCACAGTAAAAGGAAGTGGGGAGGTTCTGTTCTCATCAAGTAAGTGAAGTTCACTAAAACGTATCAAGCCTCTCACAATGAAAGTAGCAACTGTAAATGTGAGAAAAATATCCCAGGTCCTATCTTCTACAGGTTACTGGCTCAGTTCCCTTTTGAGGATACTGAAGATATTCCCCAAAGGAAACCTGCATTACTTTTAATCTGCTATAGAACTTGGCTTTGCATCAGTCATCCCAAGAAATTCTAAGAACTTCAAAATGCATTAATCCTTAGTGAACTGGATCTGTGTAACATACTCATTCCAAGTGTTTTGGCAAAGTAGCCCTATGTCACTAGCTTAATTGGTGGCAGGTTATTTTCCAGCTGTCAAATAATCTTTTCCTATTTAGGAGTCAGAAGTAAAAACATTCACTCATAAAGGAATTGAATAACTTGGAACATGAACAACATAAGTATTTATTTGAAAAACACTTTCCATTTAAGTAAAATGGCAAATTAGCTAGAGTAGCTTCTCACTGCTAATTCTATTTGCACTCACAGTCACTTTTATTCATCATATTCAAAGATATTGCCCAAAAATGATATCACAAAGTATTTAGAAAAAATATATACAGTCTCTCTAATAGAAAGTTAATTAAAACAACAAAGCTAGGCAATATCAAGCTAAGATAGGAAACCAATTGACATGTATAAACACAAATAAATAAATATGTACAAAAGATTCTATGCCAACAATAGACAAAAATCTTTACAATGCAAGTAAATGGTGACAAGAATGGAAAATATCTCAGGATCCTAGACTACAACTCTAACACAATGTAGTTTAATAACAGGGAAAAAGAAAAGAAAACATAATGAAAAGACAGTCTGAACTGATGCTATTCGCAAAGGTAGGCTGAACTAAATTTAGGCTCCCCAGCTAAATTCCTGACCCTCATCTGATGGGGGCCTAAATGGAGGTGAGAACTGCATGCTTAGAACTGACAACAGAATTTGGCTCAATCTTTCAAATCCATTTACAAATGTTTCTGTTGAGCAATTTCTTAATTTTTTCTCATCAGGTTATTGAAAATTTCTAAAGTGGAGCTGACATTGTCAAATATGAAAAAAATATTTTTCTGGAGCCATATGAATATGAGTAGAAATCAAAAGCAAAGCCATTTTTGAAGCTATATCTTAATTACTATTGACTAAGAACTTTGGGCAGAAATCTGACTAGTTAGAAAGCTAACTAATTAAAATCTACCATGAATGTCTAAGATATTGAGGGAAATGTATATGAATATTCAGTGACTAAGATTCATTTTCATCTATATGTTGTAACCTCTGCCAAAATAAGCAGCCTGTTAATATACGCCTATTGAAAAGGATTTGGCTCTGCTGTAGTGAATCTCAGTGACCTTAGATTTACTATTCTTTTCTACTGAATATAACCTTCCCCTGTGAAAGCTACGCTGGGTAATGCTCTTGTCTCCCAGAATGGTGTTGCAGGATGTTGCAAAATGGAACAGTAATAAAAAACCCACTACCTCATTATCTCATCATCTGCTGGAGCCGGGCAAATAGCTTCCTGATTGAAGCTCAGCAAAAGGTGAGAGGTCCCTAGGGTTGCTGTGTAGCCTGAAAGCTCTCCCATGTCTCAGACTGCAAACTGCCTGTGTTTTGGGGGGCAGAGAGGAAGGCCTCTAGGCTCCAGGTTCTGGACTTTGCATTTAAGCAGACTGGCTTTACCAGAATGTCTCCTTTTCTTATCACTTAACGCTGTTGCCTCCCAGAACCTGATACTTCCCAGATAACCCAGAGCAAATGTGAAAAAGTACAGCATGCACTGAGACCGATTTCTAAGAAACTGCATGGATTCCATCATCTAAGAACAATTACAGTGTGGTCTCCTATACATTCATTAGCAAGCAAGCATTACTCAGAATAGTCTGAGAGTTAGGTAAGCTGCATAACAGTATGCAAGGCTCCTATGCAGCAGCCGATCCATAAATAATACACCATCTATCTTGCCAGACCTCCTTAGGCTCTTATATACTATAACCAGAGGACTGACACACAAGTAGTTTTTAGACTAGCTATTGCAGACACAGCTGTTTATAAATTATTTTGATTATTATGACTCACCCATATGTCTCACTTCATATTCCTTGGAACAAAACTCTCAATGGGGAAATACGAGGCTTTCATTTGTGTGTTAGGAAATGTCTTAAAGTCTCCAAAGCAAGGACAGAACCAGAGAGTCTCAACTGTGTGTCTCCTAAAAGGAAAACTCCACTGCATACAGCTTGCCTAATGGAAATTCTCCTTCCTCCCCCAAGCCTATGGGCTTAATATACAGTAGAGGGGCAAAAGTAGAGGTGTAAGAGATTCATTCTTAAACAACTCCTGGGAGATCCACATTGATGGAACATCAACACTAAACTTAACTCGAATGTATGGGATTAAATTATACTTAATGCTTTGGCCCTATGCCTTGAATAGAATAAGTAAAATATTAGAAATTCACATAGCCTCATTTAACTAGGTCAACATTTTGGGAAAACTTTCTTAAGCATGTTATGGTTCTGAAGGCGTAATATTTAAAATAATAAAAAAATCCTTTGGGTCAAGCAGTAAACAATCTCTTCTGCCTGTGGTTGAAATGTCATTGAAAATGAGAACATGGTACTGCATTCACAGAAAGTAACACTGGAATGGGATTTGTGGGCATTCAAAATAGTTACATTTTTTATTGTTGAGAAAGAAGACGCAGAAAATGGGTACATCCAGATATAATGACTAGGTGGACTAAAATGAGCTGTATCTAGGGTCTTCCTCAGCGTTGCTTCTCCCTTGTCTCTAATTTGAATGTCTCCCCTGAATTATGATTACTCTGATTCAATTATACATTTTAAAAATCATAGCTTCTGTGGCTACTGAGTCATGTTGCTCTCAGTACTGAAGTTTTAGTGATGATGACAACTCTTCCATGGAAGAAATATATTAAAAAGAAAAATTATGAATTTCACAAAAGCCTTCTTAACAAAATACATTCCTTATATATATGCAGTTACCTAGGTAATAGCACATTTACATCGCTAGTTGCAGTTTTCACTGCTTGGAAATCTTCACATTTCTGCAGATTGATTTCTTTTTGTTACATTAAAGACATTAAAACTTTGTGCTGTGGCTGAAGGTGTCTGACATGATAATGTTTTTATAGAAGTTGTCTGAATGAGCATTGCAATAACCCTTGACCTTATCAATGACCTGGTGGACAGGGATGATTGATGTTTGATCTCCATCAGCATGGGCCAGTTTTGACAAGGACTTGTCCATGGAAGCATTGTCTGCAAGAAACGATACAAGAAATTAGGTTCAAGATGAGCTGGTGGCATGCCTACACCATACTGTATACTCCGTTTTGCACATTAAAGAAGAACAAAAGAAAATAAAGCTCCAATTCTTTCTTAGATTAGGTAATAGGCAACACTAAACTTCCATGTTTTTCTTCTTCTAAGAATACTCCTGATAGTCACTGAGTGTCAACTTGCCTTCTAGTAATTTGTACTGTGGCTTACTGTAAGAAATATTCTTGTATGTAGCAGAGCCAATGAAAAAATATTTGGAAAACCACTTCAAAAATACATGCACTATGGCTTGAAAGATGTACAAAATTCCAAGGAATTAGAATGTGCTGAAATATTTGTGGAAGAAATTATATCTAAGATATGTTTTCAAAAAATATAGGAAGGGAAAAATGGGTAGGGGTGTATAACTGGCTATAAATTGATGGGTACAAGGGGATTTATAATAGGATCCTCTCTACTTTTTATATATGTTTGACACTTTTCATAATAAAAAATTTTACAAAATTAAATTTATAGGATTTTGGAGAATAAAAGCAAATGAAAATAAATATGAAAAGCTACTTTGAACGTATTTTCCCAAGGTTTTTAGTTGGATAAATGATTGGAATATAGCAAAAAGGGTACTTCTTATGAATTATTTTTTAATTATAGCAATCAAAGTTATTACCAGAAATATTTTAATAGAAAATGATTTATTTGTATTAATTATCTTATAGTTTCAGAACGATGTAATTACTAACAGCACTATTCTAGCAACTTACAGTAATAAAGGACTGCTAAATAATTTTTTCTAAAATTTTCAGTATCATATATTTAAATGTTATTTCCTTATACAGAAAAGCTTTCTAAAATTGACTCAGAATGCTCTGAAACTCATTTACACTCTATTATCTATAAACACGTATGGTTGTCTTTATGTATCCTACAAATATCTTTTAAGTACCTCCCTCTCCAAATACACTTTAGGGAAAAATTCTACCCTCAAATTAACCAAATTATAGAAATTTTACACTGATAAAGAAGATATGAACTTTTATAAAGTATTCAGTTTCCTATGTACCTTCTCCATACATTGTGGAAGAGGCAAAAACTTTTAGAAATCATGGCTCCGAAATTGGAATCTTCACTCCAACGCTTTTTACATTTTGAGTATGCTGGACTCAGTATGTGACAAAACATTTAAAATCCATCAATAATTGATAAAAGCCATTATCACCATGATATCTGTTGTCTCTGGAAACTATTCAAATTGCTCAACTATTATCTTGTATTGAAGCAGACATTAAATACGATGAGGGCTAAAAAGGGAAATGGGATATTCAACCTACACTAAAGGATGCCAGAGAAAAGAATAGATGGTTCATGGAAAGAACAGACAAACTGAAGCATGGTGGAACAACTGAAGTATTTTCCAATATTGGTGAGGAAAAGGCTCAAGGAGTCATGACAAAAGGCCCCTCCCCATTAGGCTCTCAGCAAGCTGATTGATTCTGAGCTTCCTTTCAGTTCATATATTCACTAGCCATTGGTTTTCTGGTGGGGATTTTTCTATTGACTTATATATCAATAATGAATAATTAGTGTTCGGTGTTTTTAGAAAACCACATATCCTCAGAGATAACAAGGATATAGTCACTCTGCTTCCTTTGTAACTTCCAGTGGCATGTACTTTTAGAGATTTTGAACAGCCTCATTTCAACAATGTGATCCAATTTAGTGGGTCTTCACAGTTTAATAAAGCAAAATTCTGAAAGAAGGCTGTATTTTTATATATGCTATTCCCAGTCTTCTGGTTAGATATTACATTATGGGTAATAAAGACTTCGATTATAGTCGCAAATCTGAAAACCAGGGGCTAGGGGTATGAACTATTATTTGACTTATGCTGAAATTTCAAGCAGATAACAATTCTCACAAAGCAGGCTTGGAATTGACAATTTCACTTATATGATGACTTCTATGAATGTACCATGACATATCCAGAAATCCGTATGAGCACTGGAAAAATAAAGCATTTCATGCCTTCTACAACAAATCTTTTCTCAAGTACTACTTTTTGTCATTATTTTACATAATGTGTGATCCACTCACTACAGACCATGGTACATTTCCTAGAAGGAGCGGCTTGCAGATACCCCATGCAGAGAAGAGCCAGCATAGCACACACTATCATTCAAGATTTCAGAAATTCCAGTTCAGTGCAGGAATGTCATTGTGCTAGCTGAAAAGAACAAGCCATTTTGCTGATGCAGCAAGAATCTTAGCTTAATCCATGCAAATATTCTCTTATTACCTTGCAAAAAATTCATGCATTCAAAAAAGTAATGAAAGTTTACCTGAATGATCCACTTTTGTTGAAGGAATGCTCATAGGAGACATTATCTACACCATAAACATATGAATATCTAGATCAATTCCAAGAAATGAACCAACTAGATATCCATGATGATATGCAGTGATGTTTTCCATACCCTGAGTGATCCCCAGGATGCTAACTGTCCCACTGAGAACTGGCTGGGTGGCCAAAGCCTATGTGAAGTCAGTTGACTGTAAACCAGGATTTATTATACTATTGAAGTAATGCCATATAACTAACTATATTCTCATCCTAGTTGTCAAGAACCCATTTAGCCCCAAGGGTTTTTTGTTAAGGGAAACAAGAACATTAATGCATTCTAATGTAAATGATGAGATAATGGGTGCAGCACACCAACATGGCTCATGTATACATATGTAACAAACCTGCACGTTGTGCACATGTACCCTATAACTTAAAGTATAATAATAATAATAAAAAAAAGGCTGAGTGTGGTGGCTCACGTCTGTAATCCCAGGACTCTGGGAGGCTGAAGCAGGAAAATTCCTTGAGCCCAGGAGTTTGAGACTAGCCTGGGCAAGATGATGAAATCTCATCTCTACAAAAATACAAAAATTAGACAGGTGTGGTAGTGCACACCTGTAGTTCTAGCTACTCGGGAGGCTGAGGTAGGAGGATTGCTTGAACCCAGGAGGCAGAGGCTGCAGTAAGCCTCTACCGTGAGTGTGCCATTGCACTCCAGCCTGGTAAACAGAGCGAGACCCTGTCTCAAAAAATAAATAAAATAAAATAAAATAAAATAAAATAAAATAAAATAAAATAAAATAAAATAAAATAAAATAAAATAAAAATACAACAGATGAAATAAAAGTAAGACACACAATATTTTAAAATAGTAAAGTCTGCCTTTGGACCTCCATCTCTGCATTTCCTCTTTTATCTTCTAGTCTGTTTTTCCCTGAATCCTATAGCCCTTTCTTTCCTTAATATTTTCAAAATGCCTCATGTTCCAAACTAACTGCCTTGTTATCTTCTTTCCTCTTTTAAGACTGGCATTTCTTCAGGTCAACTATTTTCAGCTGTTTAAGAAGAAAGCAATTCGATTGGTTTAATTCCTATTTATTCATAACTGATAAGGCATTAAGTATTTGTATTCAGAAGGGGAGGCAAAATCAGTATCAAATTTTAAGTATGGTTAAATAAAGTGAAAAAAATTCATTATAAGCAAAAGATATTTTGTGCCAAGGAACCACCAAATAAGTAGAATAATCTATCTTAGACTATACACCTGCCATCAATTTCTTTACACAGGTATTCTTAAGCAGAGGTACACAAACTTCTTTAATTTTATGCAAAATTGTGAAGATGATTCAAAATCTGTACCTTTTTTTCTGGAAGAGAATCAATAGCCTTCATTCAGTTCCCCCCAAAATGTCCTAGACTCCAAGAAGCTTTAAAAACTGCTGTCCTAAGCTGCTCCAAGTTCTTGGATTTTTAATTAATTTTAGAATTAACGAACTCTCTAAACACTCAACACTTTTTCCATAGTACTATCATGAATCCCAGGCAGTGGCCACTCCAGTGGCAAGACATAGAAGATGGTGAAAACAGGGACATGTATAAGCATTCAAATGTACACCAGGGTCATCTGTAATTCAAGTATTTGCAATATGAATAATTACAGATGCATCACACACCTTACTCCCTATTTGCAAAAAGCCAAGTATTAATCTTCTTTGTGCCATTCACCTCTGCTCATGTTTAGTAGCTAAACAAATTAAAAATTAAAAAGTTATTTCCATTATCCTTTTAGAATTATCTTTAATTAGGAAAGTGCTCTGTTTTAAATGTTGACAGCTGTCTGCCAGGGGTTTAATTTAAAAGCAGCAATTCTATTATTTCCCTTTGAAAATATGAAAAGGTTACACATTTTCACATCATTCACTATCAAGTGCTGCAAAATATTACTATTTTTTTGAGATGGGGTCTTGCTATGTTGCCCAGGCTGTGGTGCAGTGGCTCAATCATATCTCACTGCAGCCTGAACTCCAGGGCACAAGCAATCCCCCCATCTTAGCCTCCAGAGCAGCTGGGACTCCACGCATGTGTCACAGCACCTGGCTTAAATTCTTCTTTATTTCCATGGTGTCTTCAGGATTTTTCACATACATGTTCAGTGTCAGAATGTGCAGTAATTGTAAATATCGTGAAAAAACAGGATATTATGAAAGACAGTGATTCTTATAGCCCTGTATCACCGTCCAAATATTATGTTCTTTTCATATGTAATCAGCAATTTAAAGGGCAGTCATCAATAACATTTGCAATGGTTAAGGAATTAACTCTTAAATAAAACGTACATCCTAGATATTGTTTCTTCCTGTTCCCATGACAACTTTTCCGGTAACTATCATACCATGCTGAAATAACCTGTAATTCAATTTTTAATTTTAAAAATATATAACTTTTAAAATAAAATACCATAATTTTCAAAGATAATCAAGTTTTTGAATTAAATGATGAAGTTACAATAATATACAGAGTGAATTATTATGGTTATATAGCTAGAGTTTGGGTTACAAAATTTTTAAAAGGACAAAATATTCATAAAGGTGTTTGGTGACATCTTCAATCATTTTTATTTTCATAAATCTAAAAGATGTACCCTCTCAGGCACTGTGATTCATCAATCTTCATGATATGCCAGTTTTTGCAACGAAAAATGTGATGAGAACTAAACTTGAGGACATCTTTAGACTCACCTGTGTGGCTATTCCTTTTGAAATAGGTGGTAGAGCTGGATTTAGATTTGGATGTAAGATAGGTTGAGTTGGAACCAATGGAGCTTGAAGACAAAGATTTTCCTAGATTATCAGAACTTTTCTTGATGATATTGGTAGCTGTCTTACTCCAATCTGAAAGAAAAATGACACCACTGTATCAATCTGCTTTACAGGGAATATGAACTGCTCTGAAAAAATCATCACTGCATTATTTATCTGGAGCATCTGATTTTCTGATATGCTGGCAATGGCTCAGAGAGGAGACTGACATGTAAACAATAAGAAGAAATTGATAATTTCTTACTTTGACCTTGTATATGTACTATTTAAAATCTCACTTTCAATATACCAAGGATGAGAAGTAACCACTGACGGTAAAAAGAAAAAGAAAGATAAAGAAAAAAGACAAAGTAGGTTTTTTTGAGTTTTTTCTTTTTTTTAAATACTGAGAAAAATCTATTTGCCTAATAATGTAATTAGGGGTCTTAAAAATGTGGAAAGGTGAGTCTTGCATAGTGGAAGCTCTGAGTATATGGGTTGTTAAATTAGACATCAAACCTCGGGGAACTCATTTAACTCATGCTTCCCCTCTGCAGAATAGAAGGGTTGGGCCCAAAGTTCTCAGATCTCTTCCAGCCCTGATATTCTATGATTCCAACTAGGCATCTTCACATGCTCCACTTCAACAGCTTGCTACCACTGGGACTAGGTTGCTTTGACAATGGAAGACTGAATGACAAACTTTCCCATCTACTTTTAGATGTAAAATTTAATCAACAATCCTTTACCTGAGTTATCTGCTAACCGAAATCTACCACAGCAGAGATGCCGCCGCCACTGTTTCTGAACATTCTCCTTCATAGCACAGTGGAAGATGAATATAAATAAGCCTGTGACAAAAGAAAATATAAATATTTAAGCCAACTGACACATCTTTAAAGAGAAATCTTATAAAATACATGGATTCATTTTAATTTTAATTTTTTTACATCAAAGTCACTAAGAAACAAAGATCTTAAAGAAATGAATCTTACAGTATGTAGCAGACATTTTAATCCTTTAGAAGATAACATAAAGGCTCTGATAAAACTAAAATAACCACAGGGATCTGATTCTGTCTTTGCCTGTTCTGTTCAGCATTCATTATGACTTAACCTAAAAGCCAAACTGAAATAAGCAACATTCAATTCTAGAAGTATTTAGTATTTCCCATATATTTGTCCTAAAATTATGTTAAAACTTTCCATACATATTTTAACAAAATAGAAAATGGAAAACACACATAAGCTCATCATCTGTTTCAATTTGTGTATTCTGAGCTATTTTACATATGTATATTACAGTTATATTCATAGTATATTAGCTTGGGCCATAGAAAAGTGGTATTTTTGCAGGTGAAACATGGCACCAAATCAGCAAAATCATGTGGCTCCACCTGGCCTACTTTAGCCTTTCAAGATTTTAATACAGAAATATTTCCATAATGAGAGATAGTCTTCATATTTATAGTCACTTCTTGTGCTTATCAAAATCTGTCATTTGTATCATAGAAGTCAATCCCTTTTAACTTTTCATGGCATTTGCTTCTGCATTTTAACCCTCTCCTTGAGGTGCCATCAATCTTTCTCTCTATTCCTCTATACTTGGTTATTGCCATTAACTTAAAAGCATACTGTTAAAACACTTTTTTAAAGAACAAACAAAAAATTCTTCCCTTAACCTCCAATTTTCTTCCAGTTTCAATCTCTTTATTCCTTTTCCCAATAAAACTTCTTGAAATGGTTAACTTTCGTTGCCTCCACTTTTTCTGACACCTTCTCATCTCCACCCAGTCCAAACAGATTGCTATCCACATCAGTGACCCCACTATGACCACTCTTGTAAGAATGATGGCGACTCCAATATTGCTGAGTTTCCCATGACCACTTTACTAGACCTCTCAGCAGCACTCAACACAATCAAACAGCCCTTCATTCTCGAGGTCATTTTCTCCCAGTTTTCTTCCTAATTTGCTGGGGATTCCTTCTTGGTCTCTTTAGTAGATTCTTCTGCTTTACTCTAAAAAAGGTTTACATGTCCATGACTAGGTTCCGGGTTTCTATCTCTTCTATGGTTACACTGCCACTTGGGGTACTAACACTTCTTTTATTTATTTACTTATTTATTATTATTATTATACTTTAAGTTCTAGGGTACATGTGCATAACGTGCAGGCTTGTTACATATGTATACTTGTGCCATGTTGGTGTGCCACACCCATCAACTCATCAGCACCCATCAACTCGTCATTTACATCAGGATTTACATCAGGTATAACTCCCAATGCAATCCCTCCCCCCTCCCCCCTCCCCATGATAGGCCCCGGTGTTCTAAAATATAAGCACCACATACTGATTTTTATATTTGGTTCTGCTCTTTCTCTCCCCAACCCCCACCAGGATTGCAACATATATTGCTCATAGGACATCTTCATTGGGCTGTATCTTCACTTGGCAGCATCTCACATCCCAGATGTTCTGAACAGAAGTTCTCACAATCATGACCCTCAAATATACACACATCCCTTTAATTCTCAATGTGTCCAGCTCATTCCAGCCCAATACCATGCTGAACGCTCTTCTCCCAGATCTTTCCATAACACCTTCCTACCTACCATTCTGGTCTCAGACCAACTGTTAACTCCTCAGAGAGGCCCTCAGCAACCGTTATTTAGTTTTTTAAATTTTAACCTTTAGTCACTCCCTTTCACATACGTACTTTTTTTCACAGCACTCTTCAGTATCTGACATTCTTGTATTCCTCATTTATTCATTTATTCCTTTGCTTGATGGTCTCTTACTAGCAGATAATAAGCTCCAAGAGAACAGGGATATTTGTGTATTCAATGCTGTGCTGACTATTTCAAGAATTATGCAGGAACTTGATGAATGTTTATTGATGGAAAGAATGGTAATCAAGATCAATCAACCATGTAGTCTACATGAGTTAATTGAATGCTTACATGTATACTCTAATGTGTTAAATGTGTTTGGAGATGGGGAGGTTAAAATAGGAGTGAGCAGTCATATTAAGAGGTAATAGGAATGAAATGAAAACACATTTAATGGAAAAGTTTCTGAAAAGCATGCAAATAAGTTGCTGAAGTTGTGTCCCAGTAAAATATTAAGCAGTATATCTACATAAGGGAGGGCTTTTTAGGGGATCTGGGGCTTGAACTGAACCTTAAGTTCAGTAGGGAAGTGAGGGAAGTTTTCAGGAAGGGTAATTAATTCAGTGATAATTTATTAAGCACTGCTAAGCAGGAGGCACTGTGTTTTAGGAGTTGGAGATTCAACGGCGAACAAGGTAGACCATCCTTGTATTCATAGAACAAAGAGTCTAGTATGGAACGGCATAAATGTAAAACTTATGACAGTCCTTTTAAGGGATCATTAAAACTTATACGTTCCTTTTGAATATGGAGTATTCATCAAGAAAACTACATTATAGCTTGTACAATGGAAAAAGTGGGGAAAAGTCTTAACAGTACTCTCTTTAGATGTGCATAAATTTGCAAAATATGTCTAAGGTTATGTTTTATGTCTTAATACAAAGATTCAAAGTGGCCCTTAGTTTTCAGAATAAATTATATTATTAGCAAATATTATTATAGAAAAGGAGCTTAATTTCTACATGATGGGTCCTGATCACAGTAAAATGACTAGGCTGATTTTCCTCTGGGTTTAGCTTGTTGTTTGGTGATTAACAAGCTCTGAACACAAGCCCTGATACTTAATAGGTGCTGTCTATAAATTCCTATTTAAATTACTGAAGAAGCATTACATATTTTGACTTGCAGAAAAATGCCACTATGAAAGTACTGACTACATTTGGTCATTGATTTCAAGTAGATGACCAGCCCATAAAAAAATTCCTGGGGGCCAGACGTGGTGGCTCACACCTACAATCCCAACACTTTGGGAGGCCGAGGCAGGTGGATCACAAGGTCAGGAGTTCAAGACCAGCCTGGCCAACATAGCGAAACCCTGTCTCTACTAAAAACACAAAAAATTAGCCAGATGTGGTGGTTGGCACTTGTTATCCCAGCAACTTAGGAGGCTATGGCAGGAGAATTGCTTGAACTCAGAAGGCAGAAGTTGCAGTGAGCCAAAATAGCACCATTGCACTCCACCCTGGGTGACAGTATGAAACTCCGTCTCAAAAAAAAAAAAATTCTTGGGAAATTCAAATACGTTGATCTCTGAGAGGTATGAATAAGGCATACAACGACCTAAGTAATAGTGCATTGTATTTATTACTATTGTCATTTGATATTAATATATGGTTATATACATATTTACATAAATATGATTTTATTACTATATAATTTATTACTAATACTTTATTGGTAATGAAGTAATTTGTAAAGGAAATAAATCCTAATGATCTATTTCTTTGAAATGTTAGATAGGGTAGAGAAGTTTTGTTGTTTTTTTTTTAAGAGACAGGGTCTTACTCTGTTGCCCAGGCTTGAGTACAGTGGTGCAACTGTAACTCACTGCAGCCTTGAACTACTGGGCTCAAGCAATCCTCCTGCCTCAACTTCTTACGTAGCTAGGACAACAGGCATGTGCCACCACATCTAAATAATGTTTTGTGGAGATGAGGGTTTCGCTATGTTGCCCAAGCTGTTCTAGAACTCCTGGCCTCAAATGATTCTCCTGCCTCAGCCTCCCAAAGCACTGGGATTACAGGCATGAGCCATTGTGACTGGCTGGGAAGTTCTAATTTAACAAAAGAAAAGTTCTAATAAATATAAATCAATTTCAATTATTTAGCATGCAAATAAGCACCTCGTGAAGGTCTCTGTACTCCAGGTTGGGGAGGAAGAGTTGGAGAGGGCACCGGCTGCACACTGTCCTGGCCTATGCTAGGGCATTACAAGTCTCAGAGTAAGGGAAGATTTTCTTCTATATTCAGAATCCCTCAGAGCAGGCTTTGCAGGCTGATCCTCCTTCACAGGAATTAAGGAATAGATATCACTCGGTTAGGATTTCATCCTCACACTCTACATGACTAAATCTCATTGCTTTTCAAAGCCTTTCCATACTTACTACATTCCCTAGTCAGGCTGCCAATATAGTAAATCCTTTCAATAAGCAAATACACTTTGTACCACCAGCACTTTGACTAAGCAAAAGTGTGTAAATAATTTGAATTGGTTACTAGATTATTTTAAGTTTTGAAGAGAGTGTGGCAGTTACACAGTAGAGTGGACTGAAGGAAGCCTGAGGTAAGGTAAATAGAGGCTACAGATGATGGAGGCTGCAGCTCTAGAGAAGGAAGTCCGCATTGTCTCAGCTTACTCTATTTTCCTTTAATGGGGTCAGAATTTCCAGAATTTGTTCTTGGAGGTATTTTTGTCACACAGCTAGAAATATAGGTAACTGTGTATTCTTAAACAATTGTTTAACAGAGACACATTTTAGAGCTGGAGGGGAATATAAACTTCAATGAAGGTCTTTCGTTCCTAGGCATTAATCCAGGTATTATTTATTAGAGGGCCTCACATTTAGCAAATGATTTTTAGTTCTGGGTAGAAGGAAAAATTGCTGAATGTTGCGTCCCTTAATACTCTATTATTCTTTTGTAACACCTAGTAGTTTTTCTGCATGCTATATATCCCGGAAAAAAAAGTCAAAGGTTGAGTCTGGTGTTTTGAGGATATCAGAAAAGAATCAGGTCACAGACTCAGTTTCTTAGCCTTGTTGGGGTACTAAAATGTGAATTATTTTGAGAATCAGATGCTAACCACAGTCAGAGAGGATAATGTTTAAGATAAGACTGACTTAATAAAACAGTTTTTTAGATTGTATAGTGCTGTCCTGTATCATAATTATATAACACTAAA